AAATGGACTCTTAAATCAAATTCTTTAAACTGTCTTCCTAAAGAGTGCTATAATATATTGTCAAATAACTTTGTGAATGACCCATCTTCCAATGGGTCAGTGTGTTCTAACTAGTTTCTCAGCACTGCAGGGTCAGGAGCATCTTTGGTACTTAAATAGTGGTTGCTCAAGACATATGACAGGATCCAAGTCTCTCCTGGAAGACTATGTCAAGAAAACTGGTCCTGCAGTAACATACGGAGATAATGGAAAGGGGTTCACTAAAGGATATGGAAATATCAAGTGCAATAATGTGGTGTTTCAGAATGTTTCATATGTAAAGGGTCTCAAACACAATCTCATCTCAATCAGCCAATTGTGTGATGCTGATTATAAAGTTCACTTTACAAAGAAGGAAGGAAGAGTTGTTAACACTGACAAGAACATTGTACTCTCAGCAAGTAGAAAAGATGATATATATGTTCTTGACATGTTCTCAAGTGACAAGGCCCTGATGCAATGTTTCTTTTCAAAGTCTCAAACCAATCTCAGCTGGATTTGGCACAAAAGGTTCTCTCATTTGAACTTTAAGAATCTATCCAAAATATCTAATCAAGATCTAGTTAGAGGTCTCCCAAAACTCAGCTTTGTCAAAGACAAGATGTGCTCAGCGTGTGAACAAGGAAAACAAACCAAGTCGTCATTCAAACCCAAGTCATGTTCTAGCATATATGTTCCTCTTCATTTACTACAAATGGACTTGTTTGGACCTAATCCTGTTCGTTCCCAAGGAGGAAATAAATATACTCTAGTGGTTGTGGATGAGTTTACTCGATTTACATGGGTGGTTTTCTTGAAGAAGAAAAGTCATGCTGCACAGGAAATTATCTCGCTGATTCGCAAAAATAAGACACTGACTGGTCTCAAAGTTAAGCAGCTAAGGAGTGATCATGGCACTGAGTTCCAGAATTCAACTCTTGAAGAATTTTGTGATTATAAAGGCATTGGGCATAACTTTTCAGCTCCTCGCACACCTCAACAAAATGGAGTTGTTGAACGAAGAAATCGAACACTGATTGAGGCAGGAAGGACCTTAATGATTCATGCTGGTCTTCCTATGTCGTTTTGGGCTGAAGCTGTTAATACAGCATGTTATACTCAGAATCGATCTCTACTTCACAGGATTCACAGGAAGACACCATATGAGATGCTGAAAGGTTGAAAGCCGGACGTATCCTTCTTTCACGTGTTTGGATGCATTTGTTATATTCTCAATCAGCGCGATCCAAGATAAAAATTTGAGCCTAAGGCTGACAAAGGTATTTTTGTTGGATACTCATCTATTTCAAAAGCTTTTTGTGTTTTTCATGTGAACAGGCGGTGCATTGAAGAATCCATTCATGTGAAGTTTGATGAGGAATCATACACTGATGAAAAAGTAGCTCATTCTTCCTCTATTTTTCAAGAGCTTCTCTCTTGCCCATATGATGAAGTTTCTCACACTGAAGAAGAAGCTACTATTCCTGATCCTATCGTTCCAGATCCAAATTCCTTAAATCAAGATACTGCGGTCAGCTCGACAACTCATTTTTCTGATGCTGATGAAACTCTTGAGAATGAAGACTCTCTTGCAACTGATGTTCCCTTCAGCAATAACACTTCGGCATCAAATCTAGTGGAATCGGCTTCTGGACATCGAGATCACCCTGTTGATCAAATTATTGGGAATCTTCATGATGGTGTCCGAACCAGATCTCGTGTATCCAATAATTTTTGCATGTACGTTAATTTCGTTTCAATGATTTTACCTGACAAGATACACTCAGCTCTTCAAGACGCTGACTGGATTAAGGCCATGCAAGATGAGCTGAACGAGTTCGAATGGCACAAGGTTTGGACGCTTGTTCCCAGACCATCAGGAAAGACCATCACCGGAACACGCTGGGTCTACCGCAACAAGGTTGATAAAGATGGTATTATTACTCGCAACAAAGCAAGACTTGTTGCTCAGGGGTTCACTCAAATTGAATCCATCGACTACGGGGAGACTTTTGCTTCAGTTGCCCGCATTGAAGCAATCAGGCTGTTTCTCGCATACGCTTCATACATGAACTTCATTGTCTACCAAATGGATGTCAAAACGGCATTTCTTCATGGTGAGTTACAAGAAGAAGTATTTCTCAAACAGCCCCCAGGCTTTGAAGACAAAGAGCACCCTGACTATGTGTACCGACTAGATAAAGTTGTATATGGACTGAAGCAAGCTCCCAGGGCCTGGTATGAGACACTGACATCATATCTTCTTGAAAATGGCTACAGAAGAGGAGCAATTGACAATAATCTCTTCATCAAACAGAAAGGCTCAGAAATGATTCTTGTTCAAATCTATGTCGATGACATCATCTTTGGATCTCCAAATGAGAAGCTGAGCAAAGAATTCGTTGAGATCATGTCTCAAAGGTTCGAAATGAGCATGATGGGAAACATGACTTTCTTCTTAGGTGTTGAGGTTCAGCAACAAAAATCAGGTATTTCAATTTGTCAAAGTAAATACATTGATGACATGCTAGTTAAGTATTCTCTCAGCGACTGCAAACCAGGTTCTACTCCGGTGTCCAAGACTGATAAGCTACACGCTGATCCCACCGGCACTGATGTTAATCACTCTCTTTATCGAGGAATGATTGGATCTCTTCTCTACCTCACTGCAAGTCACCCTGATATCATATTTGGAACCATTCTCTGTGCTAGATTCCAAGCTAATCCTAAGACTTGTTGCTCAGGGGTTCACTCAAATTGAATCCATCGACTACGGGGAGACTTTTGCTTCAGTTGCCCGCATTGAAGCAATCAGGCTGTTTCTCGCATACGCTTCATACATGAACTTCATTGTCTACCAAATGGATGTCAAAACAGCATTTCTTCATGGTGAGTTACAAGAAGAAGTATTTCTCAAACAGCCCCCAGGCTTTGAAGACAAAGAGCACCCTGACTATGTGTACCGACTAGATAAAGTTGTATATGGACTGAAGCAAGCTCCCAGGGCCTGGTATGAGACACTGACATCATATCTTCTTGAAAATGGCTACAGAAGAGGAGCAATTGACAATACTCTCTTCATCAAACAGAAAGGCTCAGAAATGATTCTTGTTCAAATCTATGTCGATGACATCATCTTTGGATCTCCAAATGAGAAGCTGAGCAAAGAATTCGTTGAGATCATGTCTCAAAGGTTCGAAATGAGCATGATGGGAAAGATGACTTTCTTCTTAGGTCTTGAGGTTCAGCAACAAAAATCAGGTATTTCAATTTGTCAAAGTAAATACATTGATGACATGCTAGTTAAGTATTCTCTCAGCGACTGCAAACCAGGTTCTACTCCGGTGTCCAAGACTGATAAGCTACACGCTGATCCCACCGACGCTGATGTTAATCACTCTCTTTATCGAGGAATGATTGGATCTCTTCTCTACCTCACTGCAAGTCGCCCTGATATCATGTTTGGAACCATTCTCTGTGCTAGATTCCAAGCTAATCCTAAGGAGTCTCATCTCATTGCAGTCGAACGCATCTTTCGATACTTAAAGGCCACTCAGAACTTGGCACTGTGGTACACTCGTGAGTCAGCGCTTGAACTATTTGGATACACTGATTCTGACTATGCAGGTTGCAACTTAGACAAGAAGAGCACATCAGGTGGATGTCATTTCCTTGAAAATCGACTAATCAGTTGGTCCAGCAAGAAACAAACCTCAGTAGCTATCTCTACTGCAGAAGCTGAGTATGTTGCCGCTGGAAGATGTTGTGCTCAAATCTTATGGCTTCAAAATCAACTTTTAGACTATGGGCTTAAATTCACAAAGACTCTTATATTCTGTGATAACACCAGTGCCATTCAGATCACACAGAATCCGGTTCAGCACTCAAAGACAAAGCATATAGAGATTAGACATCACTTCATCAGAGACGATGTTGAGAAGGGCAAGGTTGTTTTAACACATGTCAAGACTTCCGATCAACTAGCTGACATTTTCACCAAGGCCCTGGATACTCAAACTAATGCTCACATCATTGGCGAACTTGGAATGATCACTCTTGATTGAATTTTTTTTTACTAATGTTTGCTATTGTTTTACTAATGTTTGCTACTGTTTTATACACTATTGTCTAACCATCTCTCTCTCTTCTACAAATCTTCTAAACTAAAGTTGAATGATTCACTGTATAAAACCATACACTGATAACAACTTGAAACTCTTTGCCGATGGTTAGACAAAACACCAAGTTCTATCACACGCAAGTATCCACTCTTACCAATCTTACACTGATTCTGTGATTCGATGTGACAAAACACATACTGATGAGAATCTAAAAATCTTTGCCGATGGTTAGACAAAACACCAAGTTCTATCACACGCAACTATCCCCTCTTACCAATCTTACACTGATTCAGTGATTCAGCATGACAAGATACATGCTGATGAGAATCTAACAGTCTTTGCCGATGGTTAGACCAAAACACCAAGGTCTATCGCACGCAACAATCCTCTCTTCACCTTCTTCTCATTCAATGTCTAATGATTTAGTAAGAAATACCACTTACTGATAAGGACTCGACACTCTGTGCCGAGGGTTAGATAATTAAACTAGTATCTATCACACGCACCAATCACCTTGCTAACCCTAAACAAGCAAGTTGTACCTTGAATTGACGACAAACTATCTTTCAGCACGTAACTTTCCGTGATAACAATCTCAGCGCTTCTGCAGTCACTGATTGTCGTTTCCTTTTCGGCACAACGACTCTATTTACCCAACGACTATTTTTTTTTATTTGATAGTATGTCAAGATACGCAGTTGTTTTCGATGAAGATAATCATTACCTTTTTTTTTTACCGTTTCATTCCCTATTTAAACCTTTTCACCTCTCCCCCAAACCTTTTTACCTTCCTCCAATCTTCTCTCTCTTAAAAAAACATAATAATAATAAAAAAAAAAACTAGAATCCTAAACTTCTTCAATGGCGACATCTCTGTTCACCTTCTCCTCCACTTCAAGAAGAGTCGTCCCAGCTCCAAACTCTCCTCCTCTTCCCATATACATCAAAGCCACAAATGTCGTTTTCAACCCTGATATTCCAGATGTTCATCGAGGTCTTGGACTTGATGATTTTGTCAATTTCTTAGTCTCCTGCCGACTTCGATACGCAATCAGCGACGTTTCATCAGAGTTCTTTCCCGAACAAGTATGTGAGTTCTACTACACTGCAACGATTAATGATGAAAACAACGTCATCTCCGGGACTATTGGTCGTGGCAGACACTCAGTTTTTATTACCGGTGACCTCCTCAGTGCTGCGCTCAGGTTACCAATCTTTGAACCATTCTCTGAGCTTCCACCTATTGAACGTTGTCGACGCCTCTTTGATCAACTGGGATATGATCACTCAAAGGCTGGTACTCGATCAGCTCTCATTCTGCATCAATGTATGACTCCAGGATGGAAGTTCTTCACCGGTGCTCTGTGCAAATGTGTGGGTCACAAATCTCGCAGTGGTGATCAACTGAGCACTTATGAGCAACAAGTCGTCTGTTCCCTTCTTCTCAACAAACGACTTGATTATGTGGCTTTCTTCTTTGATCAGCTTGTCCAACTTCTTCGTGCAAATGTACGCGCTGATCATGTCCCCTTTCCACACTGGATTGCTCTTGTGCTAAATAAATTTTTCGCTAAAGCTTACTACTCCCACTCTGGAAACCCCATCCAATGCCCACGCATGTCAGTGCGAATGTATCAAGATGATCCATTGGAAACTGACATCGGCATCTCTGATCGGATGAGAGAATGGATCGCAAATCCATATATTGTTCCTTCACTTACCGATGATACTGATGAAGGAGCTGATGGTAACAACGAAGATCATGCTGATCAAGAAGCTGAATCACAGGATGGTGGTCATCTCTCCCCTCAACTTTCTCTTCATACTCTCTCTGTCACTGAGAGAGTTCACTCAGCTCAAGGGGAGCCACTATCTCAGGGGGAGCAACCATCCCAGGGGGAGCCACCATCTCCGGGGGAGCACCCATCTCCGGGGGAGCAACATCGCTCTCAAGAAGTTCCAGGTACTCAATTCCTTCATATACCAGCCTCAGAATTTAATGAGCTTCTGATACTGACTCGGTACATGAGTCAGCGTCTTCTACGAATTGAGGCCGATGTCCATCAGCTGAAGGGAGTTCTCTTGCCAACTCCTTCCCCTGGCCCACAACATGATGATGATCAAAAAGGGGGAGAAACTAGTGATGATCAAAACGAGGGAGAAACTGAATTTGTTGAGCTCGGATCTGAGGATAACATTTTAAACCAGACTGAGCCACCACAGCCAGTGCACGAGTCTGATAGACCAGCTGCTGACGAGTCTGATAGACCAGCAGATATTGAAAAGCTTGCTGAAGATAGTGAGCATGATGATGAACATGATGATGAGTGTCAGATGTTGGACATGAACTTCATTGATCCCACTATTCCACTTCAAGGAGAAGCCTCATATGATAATGAAGATGAACATGATGATGAATGTCAAATGCTAGATATGAAATTCATTGATCCCATTATGCCAGTTCAAGGAGAAGATTCAGATGTAGCTAGTGAGGATACTCAACCTCTATCTCGCAAGTGCAAGGCAGCAGATATTGACTTGGCTTCTTCACACACTGATACTTCTCTGCCTAGAAAGAAACCTAAGTCCATCGTCAGCATATCCAACTTGGCAGCTGAATGGAACATGTCTCCTGATCAAGTTAAGCAAATTCTTGATGAAGCCAATCAAGCTCAGCTTCTAAAGAATATTGCTCAAGCTGATAAATCTCTCATTCATCATAAACTTCAGGCCAAAGGATCCTTTGAAGCTCAAATGCAAAAGTTCTTAGAATATCAGTCCAAATCCAAATCTTCCCAGCCTCCTCCCAGTAGCAGCATGTCAAGGACTGAAAATGTTCTCGATAGGATTGATCGCAAGAGGTTTCAAGATGTTCTTAAACGACGAGTGAGCAGTGATAAGATCATCAAGGTTAAAGCCTCTAAACCTCATAACGAGAAAATTCTTACTTTGTTGATCACTCGTCAAGGTCCTCAACATCCATACACTGAAGTTGTCAAGAGGGATGAGCTGATCAGATATGGATATTCTGAATGGATGGAGTTGCTCGAATTAGCATCCAAGCAAACTTCGGCTCTCTCTTCATAACTGACATGTGCTCTCCATCTACTGATCAAGAAAGTTCAGCATCTGGATCTTGTTCCTATGCAGCATTCTCAGCAGCAAGGCCAAAGTTCCTCAGCTCCAAGAATGAGAAGGACTAGATTTCAAGTTGATAGTGAAGATGTGTTGGTTTTAAATTTTGGTGCTGAAGGAACAAACAATTCTCTTCCTATCGGTGTTGAGCCGGTTCAACATAAGTTTATCTTTGTTCCTGAACATGGAATGTTTTATCTCGATAAAAACAGAAGAATGTGCTTTCAGCGCACCACAGAAATTCCAAGAGCTCCAACATCACATCTTGTTGGCTTAAGACAAATGTGCATGAGTCATCAAGATCTATCTGGAGAGTTTCACATACTGATTGTTATGGAGTTGCTGAATAGAAGACAGGAGCTGCTGGATAGTCCTTACTGGCCTGTGAAAATAGAAGCTGAAGCTGAGTATGAAGAATTTTTGTCCAAAGGTGTTCTCGTATAGCTGTTGTTTTTAACATCATCATATTGGGGGAGATTGTAAGGTCGAACCTTATAATATGATGATGTTTGAAACTGATCCATCAGCATCAGCATCAGCATCAGCATACAAGTTGTTCAGTATATATATATATATATATATATATATATATATATATATATATATATATATATAGTCTTATATGTAACAGATTTAGTATTTATCTTGTTTCCATAGTTATCATATATTAGTTAGCTGGAACATTCCTGATTTGTAGGGATTGTCTATAATAGTTCTATATAATCTTTTGTACGGGTTTGTGAAGGGGTTGTCTTTCACAAACCCTAATAGCCGCTTTGTGCGAACAATAATCTCTTTGTGAGATTATCATTCTTAGTGAAAGCTCTTTGTGATACTTCATTGTTCTCTTCTTATTATTAGTCATTGTTTGATAAATCGATTGATCTAAGGTTCTTTCACAAAGATTAATTAAATGTTAAAAGTATAAATGTTCAAGGGATATATTGATATTTTAGAAAGTATCAAATATACAAAGGAAATCTGCATTTGGGTTTAGTTTACCAATTGTTGAAACTACAAGTACCATGAGCTTAAAATGATAAGTTGCATGAAGAACAACTCGCGTGAATAAGTGGTTTTTTTTAAGGGGGAGGCGGAATAACATGACCCCACCCAAAATGTGGTGTTCTTAGATACATGAAGAACAACTCGCGTGAATGATAAGTTGCATGAAGAACAACTCGCGTGAATAAGTGGTTTTTTTTAAGGGGGAGGCGGAATAACATGACCCCACCCAAAATGTGGTGTTCTTAGATACAATTTATTATTATTATTATTATTATTATTATTAAGGGGGAGGCGGAATAACATGACCCCATCCAATGTTGGGTTTAATCTTGACATGTTATTTTAGTTTAGTATTTAATTTAGTAATTGCATAAAACATAGTAGGTCATGGGTTGAATGAGTCATATGGACTAAGTCTTTTGGGCCTTTTGGATCGGTAGTTAAGGTGCTAGAAAATAGTAAACGTGGGATTGTTTTTGTTTGGAATCGTTAGGTTTTTGTAGGCTATAAAAGCCATCTATTTTCTGAATAAAGTTGCAGCCATTTTGAGTTACTATTACTTCTCCTTCTACATATTTCTCACGTAACAAACAGGGGTTGAGTCTTTGGTTTTGCAGTTGACAAAAGAGGGGCCTGATTCCAACATTTGGTATCAGAGCGAGTTGAAGCAGGTTTGAGAGTCGGTGTAGAGAAAGGAGGAGCAGCCCTTGGCTGCAGGGCTGAGAACCGAAAAGAAGAAGCATGTGAGATCAGCAGATAAAATGGTGAAGGGAGAGAAGAAGAAGAATAAAAACATGAAAGGGTTGAGTACTCAAGTGAAAACCCCATAAGCTTTTAAGACCAAGAAGTACTCAGTCACAGCCAAGAGGAAGGGTCATATCTGGTTTGTAGAAGAAAGTCCGCTGCACAACAGCAAATTAGAAAGAAGAATGAAGAATTGAATATTGACTACTACAGCAGCGAAGATTGCTAGAAAGAAAGAAGAAAGAAAGATAGAAAGAAAGAAAGAAAGACAAGAAAGAAGAAAAAAGAAAGGAGAAAGAAGAAAGAAGAGGCCAGTTGCTTGCTTATCTGAGAAAAAAAAACAAGCAGCAAGGTGAAGATTGTGACGTGCAACCTGTTGGATGTTTCTTTCTTGAAAAAGAAACACAGAAAGAAGGATCAAATAAGGGTGGTTTTCCGACTGTGGTGTGTTTCGGCTCTGCTGTGGAGTTAATGGCTCATAGTCGTGTTGACAGTCCGGCTGTGAAGGTGTGATCCCGAAGATTGAAAGCAGGTGGAGATGAAGAAAGACGTTGTAGCAGAAGGTTGTTGTATGTTAGCAAGATTCAGTAAGCAAGAGAAGTAAGTAGCAAGGTTGATCATGCTTTGTTGATCACAGGAAAAGGAAGATATCAAGCAAGAGGTTTGTAGCAAGTAGCAAACCAGAAATCTGTAGCAAGTAGCAGACAATAGCAAGTAGAAAGTTCCAGGTTTGTAGCATGAACGATTGTAGCAAGATGCAAGAAAGTTTTTGGAACTCGAAAGTTTAGCAAGAGCAAGATATAAGAACTTTGTGTTCTTAAAGCAAGTAGCAAGATTGAATAAAATGATTTGGATAGCAAGAGAAGCAAGATCAAGATTGTCAAGATTAAGGGGGTAAATGTTGGGTTTAATCTTGACAGGTTATTTTAGTTTAGTATTTAATTTAGTAATTACATAGAACGAAGTAGGTCATGGGTTGAATGAATCATATGGACCAAGTCTTTTGGGCCTTTTAGATTGGTAGTTAAGGTGCTAGAAAATAGTAAACGTGAGATTGTTTTGTTTGTAGTTGTTAGGTATTGTTTTTTTTGTAGTCATTAGGTTTTTGTAGGCTATAAAAGCCATCTATTTTCTGAATAATGTTGCAGCCATTTTGAGTCACTATTACTTCTACATATTTCTCACGTAACAAACAGGGGTTGAATCTTTGGTTTTGAGTTGACAAAAGAGGGGCCTGATTCCAACACCCAAAATGTGGTGTTCCTAACACCCAAAATGTGGTGTTCCTAGATACAGTTCCCGTTTACATTCACTCTCCTCGTGCATACACACCGTCAAGCCTTATATACTCATTTTCCACAACTTATTTTTTTTGTCATTCACATTTCATCCGGCTTATGAGCTACTTTTTTTTTATCAAGGCAAAAGCTAACCTTTTCAGCTAGTCTATCAACCACAACCTAATCAAAAAACAATTGCTACTTGTGGTTAAAATTTCAATTTTGTGGTTCCGTGTCTTCTAAAGACAAGGGGTTAATATCTTATGAAATAACCATCTGGTTGATATATGTAAATCACAACCACATGCACCTTCAACATTCACTAGGATTTCAGGTTACTCAATGTCAACGTGCCAAAGCCACAAACAGCTTTTGACCCCAACCATGACAACTCAACAATTATTATAGAATCAAAAGAAAAAAGAAAACTTCCACATACAACAAAACAGTAGGAATTTTATTGTAGCCAACAATCTTATGCTAGCAAAGTGCAGTGCTTTAAAAAACCCAATCAGATCAAATCCATAATCAGCTTAGTAAATATGAAAATTTTAAAATATTCAGACATCTTCCTGCCTCATACTTCAGAAGGATCGCTGCTGCGAATGGCTGAAAAACAGACAAAATTCAAGAAAAATGTCAGGAAAAAGATTCCCTAGGTATCACAAGCCTATTTTACTACCTAAACTATAAGCTGAAAACTAATACATATTCAATTTTTAATGTTTAGGCATGCTAATCTACTTGATGATGTTACACTATGATATAATCATGCTCACAAGACCTGTTACATTTACAAACCAAAGCCTTAGAAGCAGGAATCAAATCATGTATTACATCATGATTCTCTTAAGGGGATATCCATTTGCAAAGTTATATGCCACCATGAACAGTTCAAAGATTGTATGGTGATTCTCTAAAGAAGCATATACTCATAAGTCAAATGAAATATAGTTGGCGTCTGTTTGATTGCGACTTATTGAGCTAATGGTCTTATTCAGGAAATTTTCATTTACTATGTCTCTCGATAGCCCAAGAATTTCTGCAGAGCACTACAGCCAAAACTAGACCCAAAAGCATAGGAGACACCCTATAATTGAAAATTTCTTTGTCTTCCCTACCTTACCACATGAAAATTATGATGACAAGAGATTTAAAGTGATCGGAAATGAAAACTTCTAACATACTATATAAGGTTGAAATGTTGGAAAAAAGATTCAATATGGTAAACAGATTTTGAAGCTATAATCTTATAATTAATGAATCGCTTGGACATAGAAAACCCATAAAAATCGAATGAATCCCTAGAAATCAACAGGGCAATCCACAAATCAGAATGATTGTATAATCGAAAGAAACCCTAGATCTAAGCAATCAACAAATCATGTAGAAACGATGAGAGTTAAAAGGAAGAGAGTGATTACTAGGCTTCTCAGGCTTTCCGTCAACCCACTTGGAGACGGAAAAATGGACCTTCTCCCGACCGATAGCTTCGGACTTGTAGGGTTCCTTGAGGCAGTTCCTGACTAGGTTGGCACAGATGTTGGAGTATGATATGTAGGTCATCCCTGCAGATCTCCAGAAGGGCACGGCAGCTGTGGAAGCCATCAAAATCTGCAATCTGTATTCCTTTCTTTCTCTCTTCCTCTGTTGGAACGTCGGCTCTCTCCGACTACACCAGTTCTATTTCTATATACCGGATGTTTTTAGGGAAACGCCACAATAGACCCGGTCCACCCCACCCGAATGTTATACAATTTTCACTTTTGAACCCTCAGTTTGCCTCATCATAAGGAGAACCCATGTATTTCGTTTTTTTTTTTTAATTACCAAGATGACTACTCATATATATATATATATATATATATATATATATATATATATATATATATATATATATATATATATATATATATATATATATATATATATATATATATATCATATTTGATATTGATGTCATCTTATGATCAAATATATAGCTATACAAATAAATCATGACAATAAAGTATATTTAACAATAGGTCTTGGGTTTAACCATATCAAATTGTGTGGGAAATATGTTATTCCTAAATAGCCTATGGTTCAAATCTCATCATGAATAAAAGCATAGAATTTTCAAAATGGTTTTCTATAAGTAATTTGATTTTGGTATAGCTATATTATAACTTGCTTTTATAATATTTTGTGGTTTTGACATAACGAGTTTCTAATTTCAATGGGGTATCATTTTATATCAATGAGAAAATGGTTAAAACTACAATGTTATAATTAGATAAAACTTTCAAAGTACATTGTATTAATAAGAAAAATATTGAAATTTGTAATAAAATGAAATGAAATCAGAATACAAACAAACAAAAATATGATTTTTTTTTTTTAACACAACTAACACACATCCACAATCATACTCATATATTTATACATTTTGTCCCATTTTGTTCCCAGCAAGACTTGAAAGGATGAAAGCTCCATCCATCTACTCTTAAAAATATAGTTTACTTATGCATTTAGCAATTATAATTATATACTAAGGTTGAACGGAGTGGAATTGCTAAACCTCCTCACTACGGTCGCTAACATAATCGAAACACCGCCCCCTAGGGCTCGTTAGGGGGCTTGCTATGAGGCAGTCGCTAGGAACTTAGCGAGACGATAGGGAAAGATTTTGTGGAAGCTGATTGTTGGAGAGGGGTTTATGGGGAGAAGAAGACACAAAAATCATGATTTAACAGTTTTGGTTCATTGATTTTAGCCTTATGACATATTCGACCCTAACTTACAATTTCTTTACAGTATAAATTTCCAGAATTAGCACAAAACCCCCTGAAAAAACCTTATTGTATATTTTTTTTTTAATTTAATATCAAATGTTTGTGTTTTAAAAAATATAATTTATTTGATATTAATTATTTGTAGTTTAACAAAATATAATTTAATTAAATTTGAAAAAGAAAAAAATGATATGATATGAGTGTTATCATTCTCTACCAAATGCTGAAAATGATGTGTTAAGAGGTAAAAATGACATGACACCCAAAAAGATGATGTGACAAGGTGTTAGAAATAGTACCACTCCCCTTAGGCTATGAGAGCATACGGTGTGGGTCATGTTATCAGCTGTTATGGCTGAGTTGACACATCATAACCTCGTTATAACACAATGAACAACACCCCCAAATGATGTTATAGCATAAAATGTGGTAACGGCAACGAGATTCAACATGGAAAACTAACCAATCACATTCTTCTCATTCTCTTTCTATCACTTGCTCTTAACATGTCATAACATTGAAACATCATTTCCTATATGGTGTTAAGATGATGTTAAAAGTGAAGTGACATGTTAATTGATGTTATAACATTGGCTCATACCCAATCCTTTAAGGAGTGGTAGCATTTATAGCACCATACGACATCATTTTTTTTACGTATCATATTTTGGTCTGCCACTTCGCTATCATTTTTTCATTAACATTTCATAGAGAGTGATAACACGTTTAGCACTCTTTGATTTTATTTATCAAAATTAAATAAAATATATTTTTTAATACACAAACATTTCATATTAAATAAATTATATTTTTATAAAACACAAAAATTTAATATTAAATAAAAAGGTTTCTCCTTTTAGACAAACAAATACTAAGTTGCTGAAACTTTAGGAACTAAATGTGTAACTTTTTTTATCTTCCTTCTTAATTCTCTGTTAAAAAAAGGAACCAAGCTTCTTCCCAATTTTCTGGTTAAAAGTAACGACCAAATTAGCAACAAAAATGAAAGCTTCGACTATGGTCCATTGAAGGCTCAAAATCACTCACGGGTTCATCTTCTTATTATTTTGATCTAGGATTCTACAATTTTGTACAAAAGCCCAACCACCAATCATAGCATTCTCTTGCTTTCTCTCTCTCATCTCACTAACGTCGTAGCAACCCATCTTTGGTGACTCCTCAAGCAAAGGTGAGGGGGTGGTGTAACAAGTCCATTGCGAGCCACTCCCTCAAGCCTTAGCCTAAGCTATAGCTAACCAACTGGGTACTTCGTATTTACAAATAATAGCTTTGGACCATCTTGTCTTTGTGGCTGCTTATTATGAAAACATGGCTAAAGTTGTAGTCAATCGCATTAATGTATTATTAGTGTTTTACAGTCGTTCTTTTATGTGAATGAAGCTACATATTACTATTACAATTATAGTATTTTTCATGTACTCACTCATTATAACATTAT